TCATAGAAGATCTACATGGCAATAAAATTGACTTCCTATTCTACCAATTAAATCTATCTAAAATTTTACCCGTCACAACGTATTGCTTTTTTTAATCTAAACTTTTGCTGATAATCTGCATTCCATTTAAGTTTTTTTAAGCTATTTTTTTTTCTTTAAAATCATTTTTTTAAACTTTTAATATGCATATAAAGATCTTTACGAAGTTGAATATCATTAGTAGAATTATAAAAAGAGTAAATTCTACTAATTTTTTTCAGCTTCTTTTATTTAATCAAAATTCTTTTTTGAGAAGGAGCATTTGCACAAGGTAATTTATCTAGTTATTGAGGTAGTAAATAAATTATTATATTTGTTATATCTACAATATTTACATGTAAATTATTGACTATTTATACTGAATATTTTATATGTAAAATAGAAAACCCTTGTATAGGAACTGGTGTATTAAAAAAATCTTTGATTATTTCTTCAATATTTTTATTTTTTTATATTTTTCCATTTACTATTTCCTTCATGAAATAGGCTTTTACAATTGTAATCAAGGTTTTTAGTCAAAACTATTTGTCTATATACGAAAGCATTACAAAATTAATGATAAGTAGAATTTAATTCTTTGTAACAAAAATTTTTAATGAAATTCAGAGTTAAAAGATAACTTTGCATTTTGAACTAATATGTAAAATAAACGTAAAAATTAAAATATACGCATAAAAATTGAAAACTAGGAAAATTAAGAAGTTGCAATTATTTTTTATAATACTGTAAATATGATTAAATAACATAATAGTGATTTAAATCTATCGCTAAATAATAATACTAAAAATATATATATAAAAATCCATCTTATGTCAAAGTCATATATTATTATTACAAATCAGACTTTTGTTTCTTATTTATGTGAACGGATAACTTCATATCTCACTTATAGAATAATAAAAATTGACATTGTATAAAGATGATAGATAATTAATATTTTTGATGGATTTTAAGTTCTATTTTTTTTTTGATTTTATTTAATAATAATGCCTTATATGAGTAAACAGGTTCAGGTTTTCAAACTCAATCGATAATTGTGATCTTACTACATCTAATATAAGCACTATTGCTTAAGTTTCCTAATAAGTATAAAAAAATTTTTGTTTCTTATTTATGTGAACGGATAACTTCATATCTTATTTGTAGAATAATAAAAGTTAACATTGTAAAAAGATGATAGATGATTGATATTTTTAAGTTCTATTTTTTTTAATTTTATTTAGTAATAATGTCTTATGCAAGTAGGCAAGTTCAGGTTTTTTAAACTCAATCGATAAATGTAGTCTCACTATATCTAACATAAACACTATTGCTTAAGTCTTCTAATGAGTGTAAAAAAACTTTTGTTTCTTATTTATGTGAACGGATAACTTTATATCTCACTTATAGAATAACAAAAGTTAATATTATAAAAGATAATAAATAATTGATATTTTTGATGAATTTTAAGTTCTATTTTTTTTTGATTTTATTTAATAATAATATCTTATGCGAGTAGACAGATTCAGGTTTTTTGAACCTAATTGATGATTGTGATCTCACTATACTTAACATAAGCACTATTGCTTAAGTCTCCTAATGAATGTAAAAATGATTTCATATCATATAGGAAAAAATCATTCTTTAAAACGTAAAATTCAATGATATTGTAAGCCTCCCTTAAAAATATTCTACTATTCTATAAAAGTACTAAGTTAGTTAATTCAATGAAGTTATGTATCACTTTTGCTTTAGAAAAAAAATATAAAGTTAGGGTTCAGATCACCTAAATATGTATGCTGCAGTTGAATTAATATATATTTTGTATTTTTATTTTATTTGGTTAAAATTAGATTCTTATATGAGGGGAAGGGGGTCTGTTTCTAATAAAATTATATTATGTAATATCTTTGATTCTCCTAAAATTTTGATTAAAGATGGCATTGCAATATTGTGACACTTATTTGTCATTTATTGCAAATTAAATTTTAATAATATTGCAATTTATTACAACATTGTGATGCTTATTTGTCACCTGTTACAACTAATTGAGGTGCCATCTTTAGTTTTGATATAATTTTGCATTTTTTATTTATAAGTTTGATATAGTTTTATCTTTTTTTTTGAATTTTGCAAATTTTTTAATAGAATTTTAATATAATTTTACTAATTTTACTTTTTACTATTTAAACAATTTATAAAACTTTTAAATTTTGTTTAATAACTTTAATTATAACTTAATTATACTATAAGTAAATTTAATTATAATACAATTTGTAACTTGATTGCATTATTATTTTATATAAAAAATATTTTTTTATTGATTAAACTTTAAAATAGATTAATTTAATTTAGATTAATAAAAAATAGTTTAATAAATAATAATAATTTAAATAAATATTTACAATAATTTTAATTATTAATAATTAAAATATCATATATAATTGATATATAATCTTTAATTGTAATAATAAAATTTTAATTGTAATTATATATTTATTAATAAAAATTTTTTTAATTTTATTAATTATATCTTTTTTTATTAAAATTTAATATTTTATATAAAATTTAAATGTCTAAATATTATATATTTATAAAATTAGAATAAGATTTACAAATTTAATTTTTGAAATTAAGTATTTATTTAAAATATTATCTATAATAAGTAGTGAAAATTAATATAAATAAAATATTTATTTTAATATGTAAAGATTAAATTCAATTAATTTAAATTATAATTATTTTTTTATATTTTCTTTATTTATTATAATTATTATTTTTTCTAATTAAAAAAATAAATAAAAATATATTATAAATATATTAAGAGAAATGATACATATCATATTATTATAAGTTACTATAATGCCTTTTCCCTTTCCCTTGTAAGATTTATTATTCATATGATTACAAGTGATCAATAAATATTAAGCATTATTATACTATTTAAATATTTAAATATTATATTAATAATCAAAAAAAAAATATATATATTTGAATTCAACTATTATCTTTCGATATTATCTATAAAAATAAAAATTAGTAATAAAAATTAAGTTTAAACTCAAATCTAAACTGTTTGCATGTAACTCATATTATTTAATCATTAAATTGCATCTACATAATTGTATTTATATAATTGTATTTTTAATCACTTGATTTTTTTGTCCAAAATCTTCTTAATATATAGGCTTTCTTAACTACACTAAAATATAATAAATTTTATATTTATAAGACTCTTACAAATCTGCATCAAAGATTCTGCAATGCATTTGGATATTATCATATAGTGAATGCAAAAAATCCTGTGTATTTAAAATCTAGTCTGTATAATAAATGTACTAATATGTGAAAAAAAATTTGATATAAATTACTGAAAGAAATTGAAGGTAAAATTAGAGAATACCTGATAATTCCAATTTTAATGCAAGGGTTTTTACAGTTTAGTCATTTATGATTCAGTCTATCTCAAAGCTCTTAGTCTGTCTAACTTGATCAAACTCTTTTAAAAATAATTGAAGAGAATATTGTAGCTGACACTGCTCTGTCTCCTAATACTACTGCACAAAAAAAAAGTTGCAGAAACCATCAGTACAACTAATAAAAATCTTACTGAACTTTAATGAACTTATAATTCTACTTTTGATTTAGAGATTTGGCATAATATAATAGAACGCATGACAACTCTTAAGCAAATATTGCATAATAAGAATATGAAAGTTAAAAACTAATGTGTCAAGCAGGATATCAACGAAAAAGCAAAGCAAAAAAAAGAAAACTTTTGCAAGAACATCAAAAGGTAATAAAATATGATTCACCTGATTATCCACCTCTTTTGATTCAGTATTCTGATTTACATAAACATATACATGAAAGTATCAAATTCAGAACCATAGACAAAAAGAGAAAAAAGGAAGTTATTAAAGTTAAAACAATTTGACACCTTCAAAAGGCTTTCAATTCAAAATATAATGAGTATCTTTCTCGCATTATCTTTAATAATTACTTATTACTATTTTGATCAAATACTATAGCAGTAAAAACTCATCACCACCTAGCAATTATTGCAAATGTATCTGTTTTACTAGATGAAAGGAATAAACATATTGATAAATATTATTATCTTGCATTCAGAAAAGGAGCAAAACAATTTGCAACTTTATTTTCAACTTATTCTGTTATTGTTTTTCAGGATGATAAAGCCAAGATTCCTCTTGGTATTCCTGCAGTTAGAAGAACTTTTCAAACTATATAAAGTTTTCAAGAGTCAATTATTCTATTTAATCAAAATTTTCTAATTGGTATGCAGCAAAAGCTTATTCTGTTAGTTTACTTATTCATTAACTTGAGTGATATAAATGACACTCTTTGTAATAGTCAACTTTCAATTTTATACGTTCATAATATCAAGTTAGTATAAGCTCAATCACTCATATGAATGACCTAAATTTGCTAACTCGAGATAGCTATTTTAATGAAATATTAAAAGTTAATGGTCAAGTTAAACCTATTTGAATCCTTTTAGTTGATAGAGATTCAGATAAAAATCCTCACTATATAAAAAATATTCTCTAATATTGTAAAATATTTTGTGTCTTCGATCTTAATTATTTTTCAGTTCGAATGCATACACCTAGTTAATTAATGTATAATTCTATTGAATATAATATGGTAATGCTCTCTTAAAAACTAGCTAGAATAATGTTATTAATCGATAAATATAGTTTTTATCTCAATTTTTAAGGTCAGGTAGTTGATTTGAAGCTTGCAATAAAGAATTTTTATTATACTGACAAAGCTTTGTGTTCACTTTAGAAATGTGATCTTATTCATAAGAAACTAGTTATTGCATAATATACTGATCAAAGAAATCCTCAATTTGATAATATTATATTTTTCAGATTTGAAAAAGAAAATAATGGTAAATCGGCAGTACTTTAACAATAGTTAAACAATCATACCAAAATATATCAATACTCACTTAATATTAAGAAATGTGAAAACTCTTCTTATTGTTTACCTAAACATCATAAAGAGGTAGCTATTTTTCTTGTGAAAAATAACAGATTTCTCCCACCTGTAACAAAGGAAAAAATAAGTATTTTCTGAATCCACTTCATATATTAGAATATTGTGATAAGTTTAAAATACTCAGATATGATGCTCACTGTCTCTCTATTAGTTCAAGCACTTATAATTATTGCTGTTATTTTGATTGTAATGTATACTTTCTGATTTTTTTTCTCATTACTTTACATAAAAAAAACTAATATCTAAGAAAACGAGAATGACCAGTTAAGTAAAAAAAGCCACTTACCAATTCTATTGATGATTTTTTAATACAGAATATATAAGTTCTAAATATAAATGACTGAAAAAATACATTCAGAAGGCGAGTAAAAATGTGATTACAAAGTGTCTTATACTTTATATTAGAATAACAAAAAATAAAAAGATTTGTTGTAAAGGTTGGAATTTTAAGATGATACAATAAAATTTTTTGTATTATGCATTTAATAATCTAAATATTAAAATTACAATAAGATTTACTTCTTTTATTCTAATTAGCTAATCATATTATCATATAAAGAGGTGAGATATTTAATATTTCCCTCCTTTTGATAATTACGTTATATGTGTTACTCCTCTAAAAAAATTTATATAAAAAAATTTAAAAATAAAAAAAATAAAGAATTATTTGTAAAATTAAAAAATAGTTTAAAAGAATAAAAGTAAATTATAAAAATTAAATATAAATAAAATAAATATAATAAAATTTATATTATTAATATGTAATTCTATTAAATTATGATTATTTAACAGAATATTTAAATAGTAAGTTAATAGTTATATTATATACTATAAAGTATATTCATACCTTAATAAGTTAAATTCTATTATATACTGTAATCAGATTAAATTGACAAATGTGATGCAGTATATTGCAGATATAAATGTCAAATATATCAAATATATTTGATATATCAAATATATTTGATATATAAGATATATTTGATATATTTGATATAACGAATATACTAGATATATTAGATATATTTGATTTATTTATTATATCCATCTATATAGTTAATTTTATATAAATAGAGAATGATAAAATCATGTAAATTTCAGTTTGCTTCTAGTTCACTTTTAGTTTTTCCTTTTAGTTTTACTTTAGATAAATATTTAATAGTTTTTTTAGAGGCACCTGGCCTAACCTTCGTATTTAGTATTTTAACTCTTTTAATTTTCTTATTCTTTTTTATTTTCTTATTTCTTATTTCTTTATTATTTATCAAAAATAAACATATTATTATACCTCTGAATCAATCAAACTGTCTTGCCTTTAGTCTTGTTAAGAGTACATTACTGTATAAATTATAAACTTGAGATAAACTGAACTGAGTCGCTATGTAAATTTAAAAGAATTATCACTTGAACACCCTATCTAACTATTGTAATTCATAAGGATTGCATATTAACAATACTGTAAAGTATAATTATATTTCAGTATTAATGTTATTCTTTTTTTTAAATAAGTTAATTATGATTTAAAATTAGAGAAATAATAGTTGTAATTTAAATTTAATTAACTTGACATAATGTTAATTAAGAAGTTCTTTTAATTAATAAAAATAAAATATATATTTTGTATTTATAAAATATGATTGAAATTTATTATTATTATTAATTGTAATTTATATACAATATTGAAATTTATTCTTTTTCAAAACATTTTTATATTCTTTATATAAGAAAATACAATTAAAGAAAATTATTAATAGTAGTTATATTTAGAATATTATTGATAATAATAATAATACTAATAATACTAATTAGTCTGAAATGAAGCAAAGGATTATATAAGACTAGATAATGTAATACAAAAGTATTTTAATATCTGTCTACTTATAGCTTGAGCTAATGCTATTTGAATATTCTTTTTAGTTAAGCTTTTATTATATGTCTTATTTATAATACCTATAATTTTATTTAAATAAAATTTAAAATTAGGTGTAACATTAATAATTAACAAATTAAAACAAAAAATCAGTATGTATTAAAAATAAGAATTTTTTTAAAAAATTTCAACTGTTTATAATTGAAAACTTGTCTATAAAACTATCTTTAATACATTAAGTAAAAATTTTTTAAATTAAATTTTACATTTAAAAATCTTATTTATAAAATATTAATAAAATAATTTATTATTAAGAAAAATAAAAAAGGATATTACAAATAAGATATATAATAAGATGTTATAAATATGTTTTTACTTTTAATTTTTATCTTTTGAATACACCTTTACAAATTTATAAAAATAAAGAATTTTATATTTAAAATATTTTTTATTTTTAATTGAATAAAATTCAGATTTATATTAGATATAAATTAGTAATTTTCTAAAAATATAATACATTTTAAATTAATAAATCTCAATTAACTTATAAATTACTTTTGATATATTTTCTTAAAAATTATTATAATTTTATTTATTAAATTTATTAGATTTGAATCTAATTAAACTTTAAAACTATTTTTAAATTTAAATAAAAAAATTATTTATTTATAATAATTATTAATTATTATTTTTATCTAATTATATATTTATCTTTATTATAAAAATTTAATTTACTGATAGTTATTAAATTCTAATAGGATCTAATTTTAGATATTAAAATTAATAAAACTTTTATTATTATAATATTTATTGATTTATTAGATAAATAATTATTATATTATATTATTAATATACTTAAAAATTGAATCTGATGTTTATTTTTAATAATAATTCAATTAAATAATACTATAATAAATAATACAATTATTATTATTATAATCTTGTAAATAATACTTAATTTTTAATTACTGATTAATTACTTTTTTATAAATTAAAAGATCTTTATTACTTAATAATATCTATTATGAATCTATTAATAAAGTTAAATATTTGCAATTTTAATTTATTTATATTTACATATTTATTAAGCTTAATATTTAAACATAATTAATATTAATTAATAGATTAATTAAGTAGTTTTATAGTATATTAATACATATATTATATTTAATTATAATAAAATTTTTATGAAAATTATATTATTTTATATTTTAATAAAAAGTTTAAACTTACGATTTATTGTAATATAATCTACAACTAAAAGTTTAATTATCATCAATTTAACTAAGAATACTAATTTTTTAATTATATTAATTTAAAAATAAATTGTATAAATTTAAATAAACTATTAAAATAAATTAATTATTAAATAAATAAATAAAAGAATATATAAAGTTATAAAGATATTGTAATAATTTTTTTTAAGATTATTTATTTATTATTATTTTTTTAAAATAACTTACATTTTTAACTTTAAAAATAATTTATTATATTATTAATTTAATAATAAATTTATTTTAATATATAAAACAATTTTTATTAATGTTTTACATTTCAAAACTATTACTTTTTTTATTAAAAAATAAGAAATTAATGTTTATTTAATAATAAATGATTTTTTTAATTATAACTATAATAGTCTAATATATTATTATAATTTGTTTAGTATTTTATAATATAAATATCATAGCTAATAAATATCTTATTATAATAATTGATATTAGTATAAAATTTAGAAAAGATCTTTATGTAAAAATTATTAATATACTAAAATCAAAATATAAATAAAATTATTAAAATATATTTAAAATTTGTAAAGAATATATTTAAAATAAACAAAATAAAATTATAGATAAATTTAATTTTTAGATTAGAAAATAATTCAGTAATAAAAAGATAATATTTCTATAAAATATATTGTTAAATTAAAACAAAATAGTTAATCAAAAATAATAAGTATAATATTTTAAAATGACTTTACCAACTATTTTTATACTTTTAGTATATTGTTAAATATGTATTAGTTATTTACTGCTCAATCGCTAACATCATCAGGGTCACGGCGCAGTCGTGACCCTGATGATATCTCTGATTTCACGGTAAATAACTAGTACATAACTAATTTGATTTTTTTGATAAATTTATTAAATAAATAAGCTTATTTACATTACATTACATTTGAAAAAGTTATTTAAAAAGATGTAAACTATTTGATTACTATTGTATTTATATTTTATTAATTTTATTTAAAAAGATTTTGAAATATTTCAATTTTAAAATTAAGTTTTAAAAAATTTATTTTAATGATTATTTTAAAAATTTCTTTAAAACACAAACTAATTGAATCGCTTTACTACTAATAAAAGTCAGAAAATTTCTTTATAAATTAAAAAAATTGTAATAATTAAAGTTATTCTTTATAATAAATTTTATAAGATTATATTATCATTAATATTGCTAAAAGTAAATTTTAATAAAATTGTTAAAGGTTAATGATAAAATTTTTATTTATAAATAATTTAGATTTTTTTATTAAGTAAAATTATTATAATATATAATATATATTTATAAAATTAATTTAATTATTCATAAAAATAAATCAAATTCGCCTGCGAATCTAAGGGAACTTTATCAACTTATGTTGTTAAAAGTATTGTTTTTTAACCCTCTTCTCGAATTTTTTCGTACCGATTATTAAATTAATACCCCATGTAATAATAACGAAAAAAAAGATTCCGTGTGTGTTGTATTGTTCATATTAATCTTATTTTTTTTTTTTTTTTTTTTTTTTTTTTAACGATATGGCACTGCCAGTAACTTTCATATTAATCTTATTCCCATCGGAAGAATTTTCAGAGAACATTCTTCGTACTACTATCATATCCTTTTTAGGATTATTTCCGTCTTCCACCACTTTTCCCCACTGCATATTATTTTCCAAATAAGGAAATAGGTTTCTTATTGTAAAATTTTTCTTTATATCCGTTTACGGTTTGGCTTGTGCATTAATCAATTCCTTTTTTATTAATTCCATTGAAGTAACCCCACACAGCATATAAACGAATCAAAGGTATGAATTCAATTGAGCCAATTTGTCAAACACACCTCAAATGAAAATTGTAGATATTGAAACTTGTTATTTACATATTTACAATTCAGTTTTAGAGTATCGAAGCATCTTAGATTCACAAGAAAAATCAAATCAATTGTCTTTTTCGAGTAATGTCCATATATATAAAGATTAACGTCTTGGGCCACGAGTCCATTTTGTAGATATCATAAACTTCTTCCTTTCTTGATTTTCTATTTGTGAAACTTGCCGTAAAATTGGCTGTTGGATTGGTGAATCTTGTTGTTGAAAAGATACGTGTTGTTTTTGGCTTGCATTCGGAATAACAATCTTTTCGGTCAATTGCTTCTTTGTGATGATAGGCCTGTAATTTATTATAGACATGAAAATTCTATGGACGGTAGCCTCATTTGGATAAAAGAAACTTGGAGGGCATTCGAACGATAGAGGAGTTATCCAACGTTCTCCAGCTCTTGATTTTGTTCCATTAGGAGGAACAACAACTGAATAAGTGAAACCGAAAGGAACTTTTAAGTGGGAGCAACCATTTCCTGTACGATAAACATGTTGAATTTTTTGACAAATCCTATTTCGAATTTTTATAGGAAATCCGACTGATTTTTGTAATAAGTTTGTGTCATCTGTTGGTTCATTTATTTTATGTTGAAGTTCATTTGTAGAATCAATTTTAACGTTATTTAAAGATATTCTGCATATATTTGGATTTTTTATTATCGCGGAATGATAATATATTAATCGAGTATCAACTTCCTTTGGTTTAAAAACGAAGTTTCCATTTTCTTCATTTACATGGTCAAATTTCATTGTAAGATTTGAACGCCATTTATGTTCTTGTTCAAATGTTAAATTCAAACCAACATTTTGCTCCTTGAATTTATCGGCTAAGCAAACAGCTGCTATTCTTCTAAAATTTTTACAAGTGTTGCTAAGCGATAATAAAGTTGAAATATCCGTTTCCACGAAAATAATAAGTAAAATTTCAGTTGAGAAAATATTTAAGGATGAATACATTTTTTTGTTGAGTTGATTTGAAAAAAAGATATTCTTGTTCCTTTATATAACTATTGTTTTAGCTAATTTGGGTAAAGGGCGGGAAAAGCTTGATATTAAAATTTCTGGTTCTAGATCTTAAATTTATTGATCGAGAAAAAAAAAAATTGATCATCTTTATATAAACAAAAAAAAGACTAGTTCTATATATTATTATTTTTATTTATTTATTTTACTTTTTGTGTCAAACAATTTCTTAAAAAAACTAGAAATATATTAACAAATATATCTATAAACCTGTATTGTCACGCCTTGGATATTAGCATGTCCGTTTATGAACGATTTGAGGATATAAATGGCTAACCAGTTCGGGTTTAATATTTTTAATTTTAGACAATGGTAGTGATTTACTGCATGTTGTTTCCTGTTAATGTATTATTTAAGAAATTACTTTCATCTCTCTTTAAGGAGAAATCGAACGCCACAATTTTTTTTTTTTAAGGAGGCGATTAGAAACAGTAACAATTTTAACGCGAACTTAAAATTTGCATTTTTAGAATTCCAATCCTTTGGTAATAATTCCATCGGTGATAACTTACAAAGAGAAGAAGCCACAATAACGGAGAAAAATTCCTTTGTTTTTTTTTGTTATCTTAGAAAATCATATGACATCATTCTCAACATACATTAGAAATGTACCAAACAAAGAAATTGGTTTATATTAGAACTCTGGTCTTTGCGAATAAATTAGTCACGTTTCAATTTAGTGGTGTAACTAATATTGTAAATTTGGGAATTTCTGCACATGTATGAATCAATGGAATTTGGAACAATCACAAATCGATGGAACTTGTTTAATGTACGAAAAATTGTTTTTGGACATAAGATTAGTGTTAATTATAATAATGAAATTATCATTTGCGCCACATACTTATTGATTTCCGGGATATTAATAGAATTTTAAGTATGATTATATAAATAAAATAAACAGAGATTCAATTCTGGTAGAAATAATAAATGAACTTTCTCATCAATGCCGCCTTTTTCTTTCAACCGTTAAGTAATAGTCTTTTATTAATGATTTTGTTTTGTCTTCACACTCTGTATTATCCCTCATCGTTAATAACTGGCGAATTATCCTGTAAAGTATATCTTGTAGTTCTGTCCATTAAAGTATTCGGCTAAAATAAAAAAGTGATAAATAATATGATTTCATAAAATGGATCAAGTCATTCATAAAATTTTTCGCACGATTTGATTTCTAGTGATCAGAAATCAATGAATTTTGATTTTTGATTTTTGAATGTCAGAGAATTCGAATAAAAAATTTTTAAAAAATGGATTAACTAAAAAAAAAAATTGATTTTAGTCGATCTATTTTATCACATTTTTACCAATCAGGGTTTTACTAGAAGTAATTTTATGTTAATTAGCTCCGACTGAAACATTTTATATAACAAACATATACTAAAAATTTACATTATTATAACGTAATAAAGTATAAATTTATTAAAATCGATTTAATTTTAGATAACTTTTACTAATAATAATATTTACAATTTAAAAAATTTTAAATTTTATTAAAATCTAATTTATATGTTATCATAATTAGGCGTGCTGGTTCTTATTTGCTAAAACTGAAGCTCGTTTTATTTTTTCAAATATACTCTCATTCAATTCAGGCGAGACTATTTATTATTAATGGAGTTAAAAGTACCTAATTTACGTTCATCTATTTTTCTAATAATTTAACGATAGAAAATAATAGAGACCTTTACTAATTTTGGTGGAGAGGTAGGTATTCTAACATAGATAAAGCGTGCAAACTAGACGGAGTATCGGAAGTGATTGCCTCCAATACTTCAGAGACGATTCTTAAATAAAGTGTGTAAAAAGACATATATAAATAGACAACTTTCCATTTAAGGCTTAGATAGTACATTAAGCATTGGCCGCGGCTAAGCCTTATTTTTTGGCCGTTGGCCGATTTTTTGCTGATCGGCCAAATCAATAGCCAAAATTCCAAATTGGCATTTGGCCACAGCCAACAGCCGTTTTGGTCGGCCAAATGTCATATTACTTTACCAAAATTTTGGCTGCAGTTTTATTTGCAAATTTGCAATATTTTGAACGTTCTGAACTTCAGAAACGTCAATATTTACAATGTTGCAATTAATTAAATGTCCCCAGACGTCAAGAGGCGTCAAACTATTGTAAAAATGCAATAAATTGACGTCTTCAACTTAGGCATTCATTAATTTCATCATAACACATCACAACATTTTAATTTCAATTAAAAACTATGATTTAGATGATCTGCAAAGCATATTTAAATAAAAATTTATTTTGAATAAATTAATAAAATAATTTATATAAAAATAATATTTTTTAGCCAACCTAAACCTAAATAAAATTTGACTAAACAGCTAAATGTCATAACCAAATACCGGCCAAATGGCCAATATTGCATTAAGCATAATATTCAATTAGAGTGTTTATTCATATTTAAATACCAAATGCATATTCCAATTTATGCTATAATAAACTGAAATATTATTAACACCCAATGTATAAGATACAGAACTTGATCAGATCTATGATTCTCTTGAGTTGCAAGAACTTTATCTTGGATTAGGGTTCTAATGGTAGGGATAAATTAATTCATAAAGAGTAATTCTAATAAATTCAATTGTAGAATTACTTTACTAAACCTGAGTAATTTTATTTAATGCATTTTCACAATTTGAATTTTGGTTATAAAATAATTATAAGGATTCAAATATAACTTCTAAATGTATATATAATATGTTATTGTATATTTAAGCCAAATTTTTTCAAAGTTTATCATATTATTACACAAATTTCCTTTTTTAATAGCAGTGTAACTTGTTTTTAGTCTTATAAATTGATTCATAAAAATAAGATACAGATGTACAGTAGGGTATCAAAAGTTATTAGAAACTTAAAAATTAGAAAATTGATGGAAATTTTGACATTAAATTAAACTTTTTTTTATTAATTTAATCAATTTTGATTAAATAAGCAAATTGTTCATTATAATGTTTTACATATATATTTTAAAATTTTTATAAATATTTAATTAAAAATAAAATATTTATTGTATATTTAATATAGCATTTTCAAATTTTAATACAAGATTTCAGTTATAATAAAATATTAAAATTATTAGCTATAATATATTTTATTATTTTAAGTAAATTTATTAAGTGTATTAAAAAATATTTTTTTCTAAATTTCAAATTAATTGTATTTATATTTGTTAAAATTGTTTTAGTATAATGAGTTACTAATTACGTGTAATATTAATTATTTTTTCAATTTTGAATCAAAATTTTAAATCAAGTTTTTCATAACCATTTTATTGATTTGAATAAAATTTTTTATTTGTTATACTATATTCTATATTTTATATTTCAATGAAAATTTATTTTCCAAAATAGTTTTTATAAAAAAAAATGACTATTTAACATAAAGAATTTTCTGATTTTAATGTGATAAAACTATAGGTACTTAAAAATATAATTTTAGTGAAAGAAAAATAAGTAAAGTACTAAATTATCCAAAAAGTACTATTTATAATATTATTTTTATATAAAAATGATAATTTTAAAATACTTTCTTCTCAAAGTGGTAGACTACCTATTTAACTGAAAGGGATATTCACTATTTAATACAAATTTTGAATAAAAATTATAGAACTAATATTAATGAATTATGTGAAAATTTTGTTACTTCTATTTTATGTAAGCTAAATTACTCTTAAAAGACATCTTTATAATAATGGAATTTTTGGAAGAATTAGAGCAAAAAAAAAAATCTTTTGTAAATGCAGTTAATAAAATAAAAAAATTAACATAGACTAAAAATAAAAAAAATTGAAAAAAAATTGAAAATATTATTTAGAGTGATGAATTTTGATTTAAAGTATTTAAGAAGATAAAAAAAAATATATTTGAAGAAATGCTTAAGAAAAATATCATCTAAAATATCTTATTTCTACATTTAAATTAAATTAATGGAGTGTTATAATTTGAAGGTTGTTTTACAAAAAATAAACTAGATCTATTAATCAGATTAAAAGTTAAAATAACATCAAATATATATATAAATATATTAAATAACTATTTATTTTTTTTTTTTTACGATGTGACACTGCCAGTAACTTTATTAAATTTATATATAAGGAAATACAAAGTAAATTAAAAATAAATCTATGCTAAGTATTAGCTATCCCCCATAGTTATATTACAAACCAGTTTGAATCGACCTATTATCATCTTTCCCTTCTATTAACTTCACTAAAAAACAACTATTTATTACTATTTATAAATAGTTTAGAAAATAAAAATAATTATATTTTTCAAGAAAATAATACTTTTATTTACAAAGCAAAAGCAGTAAAAAAATGAAAAGTAGAAAATAAGATTACAAGTTTACTATAATCTGCATAAAGCTTAGATTTAAATTCTATAGAAAATTTATGAGATAAATTAGATAAAAAGTTGGAAAATATAATCATTATTAAAAAATCAAAATGATTTATGACAGATTTTGTAAAACAAATGGCTAAAACTTGATAAAAGTATATATAAAAATCTTATTGATAATATGTTACATTATATTACTGCTATTATTGAAAATAAAGGTAATCTTATAAAATATTAATAATAAATTATAAAATATACATTTAAATAATTAAGATAAAAAAATTTATTTAAATTAATATGATAGTTTGTAAATTATCTCAATTTAAATATTCAATATAATTTTTTAAAAAATGATTGATATTGCAATTCTCAATGACATTTGATATTTTACTATATAATATATATAAAATATAATATAATTTTTTTGTTTATAGTATATATATAAGAATAAAATACATGTGATATAAACTTTTATATATAATATATTTGGTTAAATATTATGAATTTTAAATCTAATATTTTTATTTTAAATATTTTAAAGTATTGTAAAATAGAAAAAGAATTAATAGTAATAAAATATAAAACTTATATATAAATAAAATTAAGTTTTCCTATAAAAATATATAATAGTTTTTTTGCAAAAAAAAAAATACAAAAAAATTATTATACATTTTATATAAAGTAAAATAGGTAATAAAATTAAAGATTTAAAATAAAACTAAAAGATATTATTACTAATAAATTTTAAAAGGTTTAAAATTAAAAAATCAATATTTGTTAAGTTTATTATCATTATTGTAATATTGAAAAACTAATTATTTTACATTAGAATAATAATAACTATCAATTATAATAGTATCTTAAAATAAATATATATAAAAATAATATAATATATAATAAATCAAATTTCTTTAAAAGACTTTGTATTATTTTTTAAATTTTGAAAATAAATAAAAAGAAATTTTAGATATAGAATATATTCAGAATCATCAAAAAAATTAATTATTAAATAATCTTAAAAAAAATAAAAGTAAAAATCTTTTTTAAATTCTTTATTATTAGTATATAATAATTATTATTTTAAATTATTTGTAATACTTATACAATATAAAATTTCAATAAATAATTACAAAATTTTACGTGATAATGATCTATTTAATAAAAGTATCAAGATATATAGATATATTAAAAATAATAAATATAAAGGAAATATAATATCTAAATATTATTCTGAATATAGTAATTTATTATAATTAAATACTATATAAAAAATTATTATTAAGAGCTTATTATATAGATTGATTATGTATTTTTCTTAAAAGAAGATTAATCTATATTTACAAGTATTATTTTCTAGTTTAAAAAAAGAGCTAAACATAATTTATATTAAAAGGTTAAATGAAACAGTAATTTGAATTTTTTAATTAAATCATATTTCTATTAATAAATATACTGGTAAGTAATTAAATTTTTCTGAATAAGATTGGCAATAATTTTTAAATATAAGGTTTAAAGTTAGATTATTTTTTACTATTTAATTAATTTATTTATATTATTTTTATATTATAAAATATACATACATTTATAAAAATTCATCTGCATTTCAATAGATTTAACAAAAAAGACTAATATTTTCTTTACTGAATTATTCAAAATAGAAATATTTATATTATATATAAAATAAAATAATAATATATTTTCTTTATTTTTAGTTTATGTAATATATATATTTAAAGCTATTAAATATAATCAAAAAGTCTATAACCTTAACCACTTCTAAAAAATCTGTATTTTTATCTTTTTTATATAATTTTTTATTTTTCTTTTATTATAAATTTTAATATAATAGCTAATATAAATGTATTATTATTTTATAGTACTTTAGTTTTAAAACTAATAAATTTACATAATAGTTTTAATTGTCTACAATTAGTATAAACTGTTATATAATTTATATTTAAAATACACTTATTAAAAAATTTAAAAGTATAATAAATTGTATTATTTTTTTTATTAAAATTTTATAAAATACATTCCTTTATATGTAATTTTAAAAATTAATAATTCATAATTATTAAAATAAAATTATTTGTATTATATTCACTAGTCGAAATCAAAAAAATCAAACATGCAAAAATTTGGTCTAAAATTAGTAAATCAAAATTCAACCAAAATTCAATTTATTTTATTTATAGCTAATTGGTATATATTAAGAATTAGCTAAAATTTAATTTATTTTATTTATAGCTGATTAATATTTAATTAGAATAATTGTATTATTCTAAATGAATGATAATCAAAAAATCGTTCAATTAAAATAATTGCATTATTCTAATTAAATAATAATACAAAAATCATTTGATTGAAATAATTGTATTATTCTAATTAAATAATAACTAAAAAATCATTCAATTAGAATGATTGTATCATTTCAATCAAATAAAAATTAAAA